AGTCATTCTCTCCGGCATTCCGCCGGAATCCACCGCTAGCTATCAATCAGATGAGCTCCGCTAAATTTATTCTGGAAGCAGTGAAAACGGTCAGCAGTTCTTTACTAGGCAGTTAAGAGCTCTCGTTAATTCCACCTGGCTTCCGAGGCCGCGTCACAGATACCAGCGTTGTACACGCCGTACACAGTGATGATGCTGCGTTTGCCCTCCGTGCCCCTGTACTTTGGGGCCACATATGTTCTAGTATTTCTACTTTAGTTTATTAAATGATCCAGATATGAAGATCTCTGAGAAGGTTGGATGCATCTCAAGGACCCAGGCACCACAACTGCATCCGAAATGTGTGTTCTCATATCCAGCAGAAAGTTAATTATTACATACAACTCCTGACTCCTCCTAGCTTACAGTTCAACAGGGTCAGAAGGACCAGCATCGATTTTCCCACTGTGTCCCGTTACACTGACCAAAGGCAGGTAGCATATAATCTTTTTAGTTGTGATATTGATGCAATTTCAAACTGATTTCCCCTAAACACTGAGAAAGGCATCCCCCCTGGGATCAGAAAGAAAGAAAACAAGGCTTATGGATTCCCCACTGAAATTGCTTTTCTGCCTATATTATTGGCAAAACAGAGATAAGATTATATAGCCCATAAGTACAATCTAAATAACTGGGGGCTATGACCCCCAGTTTTAACTAACCTTGATAGGAAAATGTTTGCTAGTCCCTGAATCAACCTTTTGGACACTAACATAGATTTTTATGAAGGCCATCAATGGCTATTTTAAAAAAACCAAGTCCGGTTTTACATGAAAGAATCATTTAAATGACTTCCACCATCATAAAAATGGAGTTTGAATCTTATAGTTGAGAACATCAATCAGTTTCTAACTTAAAATGAGTAATTCGAAAGGGGTGTGATGGCTGAACAAAGATCTCGAATTAAAGCCAGAGCTGTGGGGTCAGGTTCAAAGGCTACCCGTTATTCCATGTGTGACTCAGGCCTCAGTGATCCTCAACCTCCTCAAGAATCAGTTTCTTCGTCTGGAAAATGGAGCCCAAACAAGTATTACATAGTTCTTGTGAGCTATCGAGACAAGGGTGTAAAGCAAAGTGGAGAGTTTCCTTTCTAACACTATAGGAAGCCCAGCCTATGGACGATCGTAGAATTAACCACAAAATGATCAGATGTGCTCAGTTAGTACCAGTTGAGTGAATTAATGAGTCTGAAAGGTAGATCGAGATTCCAGGGCCACTGGGGAAACAGAACGGATGACTTGTGATGGCAGGTGCTTGCATCTAGAATACAGATTTGAACTGGGGCAAAGGGGCATTCAGCTGCTTCCCATTTAAGAAGACAACAGACAGGCAGTTGATGGTGGAGAAGCTGGGCCCTTGTGTGCTGACGTTAGAGGTGTAAAATGCCGCATCTGCCATGGGAAACACACCATGAGGGAAGTCCTCAGAGGCTTAAAATTAAAATTACTGTATGGTCCATCAATTCCACTTTGGGGTATTTATCTGAAAGGCTTGAGGTGAAGATCTTGAAAACCTATTTCCATTCTCATGTACAGTAGGACATTATCCACAGTCGCCAAGACATTGTATCATGTCCATTGACAGGTGACTGGAAAAATAAAAGACAGTATCCATGCAGCACAACAGGATCAGCATCCAGAAAGAGAGAAGCCCTGAACATAAGACAAGGTGGGCATGATGTCTGGGAGACGTTACACTCAGTGAAGCTGTGAGTCACACAAGCATCAAATCTACCAGATCCTACTGCTCTGAGGTATTGAAAACAGTCCGATTCCTAGAATCAGAGGGCAGAATGGTGGTTAGCAGGGTTGGAGGAGGGGGCATGGCTGATCAGTGAGCAAGAAAAAGCTCCTTACTCCTGCATGTGGAAACTCTAGAGGCCTGCTCTAAGTGGTGTGCCTGTGGTCACGTGTATTGGATTGTACATGTAAAAACTGAAGAGGGCAGACTTCATGTTGAATGTTCTTACTACAATGAAAGGAACACAGATTACTCAAGGCAAAGCTACTTTAGGTTAAGGTAGGAAAGCAAGTGAGGCGTGCCTGGAATGGCCAAAATCTTATTGGGGAAGAGGTGTTGCCATGACAACAGAAGAGACTTGTGTCTGTACTTTCCATACTAATCCCTGGAAGGAGAGGGTGCTCCAAAGAGAAGGAAGCCAGTTGTTTGTTTTTGGAGCGCAAAGGAACAAGGAGCTACAGGCTCCCCTGTATGTGACCCAAGCACCAATGTCTTAGACACAAAGCTAATTTTATGAGCTTGGATGTGAGCTAGCTTTTCCTGTTAGAAGTGAAGTGAGGTCAGGAACGTCAGCAGCTCTTAGCTCCTGTGTTACTACATAGGACACTAAACAGTTACAGCCCTACCTCAGAGACTAGGGAAAGAGGAGGAGGAGGAGGAGGAGGAGGAGGAGGAGGAGGAGGAGGAGGAGAGAGAGAGAGAGAGAGCGAGCAATGAAAGGGTCAGAATGTCTGAATCAAAGTCCCATCAGGGAGACAATGTCACTTCATACAGCTGTTAAGAAAGTGGAGTTACTCAGTGCTCCCAGGAGCACTAGCACACAGAGGCAAGGGCTGGGCCACTAGAAGCTTTCGTATGACTTGATTTACCACCATTCTGCTCCAACATACAAACTATAAGCAAAAAGTACAAATGCAAAACATGCAAAGATGAGATGGGTCAAATGAAAGTGTTTTAAAGAATATGGAAGAAAATCCAATAACAGCACAGCAACATGTAAGCCCCCAACTGGACTGGATTTTTTAAATTGTTAGACACGGTGACTATCCTGGAAATATGCTTTGGATTGTATTCAAGTCAATATCATAAAAGCTGCTGTCTGTCAGCTGGAGGCTTTGTGATGCTTTAACCTTCCCTGTTTCCATTCAGGAAAGAACTCCTCTCCCTAATTCAATTCCAAACCACCTCTCTAAGGCTTCATCTCTCTGCAGGCAGAGCAATCGCTTCTTTTATAAGTGGCTTTTGTTGTAGCAAACTGTTTCTCTTGAACCATCACCAGAAGGGCCAGAGAAGTGCTCTAGAACTAACAGCCACTGAAAGTCTTGAGAGCAAAGACCCAAGTGACACAATCAACGACCACTCTGAAGACACACTAAGCACCCTGAGGTCCTCCTGAGCAGGCCCCCTTATGCCACACAGCAACTAAGGGACACTCTGCTAAGACCTTATTCGTCTCTCGCTGGTTCATCAACGTTTTTGTATAGCGAGTCAAAATGTCTAAGGTTGAATTTACACAGATAATTGAGTTCTTTTTTAGTGGGCCCTGAAAGGGTAGGACCAAGGTTAGCTGAGGTGTTTGGATTCTCTTATGCAGAGCCTTCTTACTGGCCATCCTGGTGACAAGGAGAGGCAACGGGAAAATTCTTGTGTTAATTTCTTTTGACACTCATGAGGGAAGCAGAGTGTAGATGACTCTTTATATCTTAGTAGGGGCCCAACACAGAGAGCCCAGTCCTCACACTCCCAGTGAAAGGAAGACATTGACAATGACTGAAAAAGCAAGGATCAAAACATGCTAACATGGTCCAGAAGGCCAACAACATATGATAGTCTCATGATCCCAAACATGCTAACATGGTCCAGAAGGCCAACAACATGTTATAGTCTCACGACCCCAAACATGCTAACATGGTCCAGAAGGCCAACAACATGTTATAGTCTCACGATCCCAAACATGCTAACATGGTCCAGAAGGCCAACAACATATGATAGTCTCATGATCCCAAACATGCTAACATGGTCCAGAAGGCCAACAACATATGATAGTCTCATGATCCCAAACATGCTAACATGGTCCAGAAGGCCAACAACATGTTATAGTCTCACGATCCCAAACATGCTAACATGGTCCAGAAGGCCAACAACATGTTATAGTCTCATGATCCCAAACATGCTAACATGGTCCAGAAGGCCAACAACATGTTATAGTCTCACGATCCCAAACATGCTAACATGGTCCAGAGGCCAACAACATGTGATAGTCTCATGATCCCAAACATGCTAACATGGTCCAGAAGGCCAACAACATGTTATAGTCTCACAATCCCAAACATGCTAACATGGCCCAGAAGGTCAACAACATGTTATAGTCTCACGATCCCAAACATGCTAACAAGGCCCAGAAGGCCAACAACATGTTATAGTCTCACGATCTCAAACATGCTAACATGGCCCAGAAGGCCAACAACATGGGGAGTGTGATATAGTCACTACCCCAGGGTGGCAGATAACTATGATGAAAACAGGAGAAATAAAGTCACTTGAGTCAAACTCTTTAGGTAACGCTCTCAATAAAGACCTCCCTAGACAGATCAGAGATGGGAAGAGGGAAAGTCTTAGAAAGTTTGGCCAAAGAAATCTTAACCCTGATAGAGCTTTTGACTTCGACAACTGAGTCATCAAAGGGCTCTTTGTATATTAATTTCAATAAGTGAAGAACTGAGACGAGAGAGCAAGCCCTCTAAGCTGGGCAAGACGTCATCTGCATGGATGAAACACTGAATTTGCACAACAGTAGGCATGTAAGTTTTGTGCAAAAATGCATCTCAAGGGAGTCCTGATGGTCTACCTTGCATTGTTGGTACATGAAGTCATAAAAATTCCTTTCCTCTAGTGATTATTTGAAGTAATAAGGGAGGCGGCGGGGCTGCGTCCCCCACACCCCAGCCGCCTGCCCAGCTAGCTTATGCCCCGAAATAATTACACGGACTCTGTATTCTTTTAATCACTGCTTGGCCCATTCTCTTCTAGGCTAATTCTCACATATTAATTTAGCCCATTTCTAATCATCTGTGTATGGCACCCCAAGGTGCGCTTACCAGGAAGATTCTAGCCTATGTCCATCCTGGGTCGGACCTTCATCGCGTGTGTCTGCCAGGGAGCAGGGCATGGCGTCTCTGCTGAGGCGTCTGCTCCGGAGAGCAGAGCTGTGGAGTCTGACCTCACTTCCTCTTCCTCCCAGCATTTTGTTCTGTTTACTCCTCCCACCTATCCTCTAACCAATAAAATGGGCCAGGGCAGTGTCTTTATTAGCCAATGACCTTCCTCCATCAATTATTGGAGATGCTGTGGTAAATGAAATGTCTCCCACTCTGTGATGGAGGAGAATAAGAGCCTCCACTGCCAGCAGAGCCATGGCAGGACTAAATTGGCTTTAAGTAGTGTGTGCGTGGTGTGTGTGTGTGTGTGTTGTAGATATTAAAGATACTTGTGCAGAGCCATTAAACAGACAAATTCCTGCCCCACAATTGATTTGGCTGATTTGGGGCACTCTTTACCAAAGAGTGCCAACCCAATAGACCTTAGAACTGTACATACCAAGAAATCCCCATGTGCTCATGTCTGACCTTTCTCTAAAAAAGTAAGCAAAGAAATCTGTCAAATTCTTAGAAGACTATTAGATAACACATTTACAAACAGTCGCATGTAAATCTAGAAATTTCTTTCAAACACAGATAAGACAAAGTAACCCTTGGCCCAAGAAAGCAACTCTGACCCCTACTCTGCGTTTGGAGAAAGCTGACCACTGTGCTACCTGCTAACGACTGAGAACATTTAGTTCACTGTCAAGTCCTTTACTGGACTGGCAGAGTGTTGGTCTTAAACGTACAGGATAAAGGGGAAAAATCAGGGGCCGGGAGAAGTGTGGCAAAAAGAATTTTATAAATAAAGTCTTTTAGGTCTTTTGTAACTGGTCAATTGCCAGGGGAAATTAAGGTAAATATTGCTAAACTTTTTCTTTACTTCTAAAGCGAGGATGCCGTAGAGGGTGATTGCAGATAAACCCCCAAGCTGGGAACGCTTGAAGGAGTGGCTTCCGGGGCCTCAGCAACCACCTGCCATTCCTCTGACAACCGCTGAGCCCGCTCTTCACATGCTACCTTTCCTGCACAGCTGAACAAGCGCAAACAAAACCCAGCCATGGAGAGTGCAAGGTGAACTTAATCTTTGTAGGGAAAAGCACAAGGAGAAAGTTCCTTTGTTTTCCCGCTTGCTGTATAATTTATATCCTCTCTGGTTCTAGGGGGAAAACAAACGTATTTTGGAGGCTATACATTTCTATCAATACTAATCAAATTTAAAGGTTTTTTTTTTCTCAAGGGCAAGGTGACTTTCAAAATATTGTCAAATCCCCAACTATTCTGAGATGTCTTCTGTGTGGTAGTTTTTATCCAGATGGATTCCTGAGCATGTCTGAGATGCTTGTATAGTTTCTGAGAATGAGGCCAACGCCGAGAGTGATGCGCACGTGGAGTGTCTCATCTCTAGACACAGGGACATTAAAACTTAACGCATTGCTTGGCGATAGCATCAAGGACCTGAGACAACACAGTAAAAGTCAGTAATCTAACTCAGGGATGCAGCAGACCTCTGCCCCCTCTTCTAAGGGAGCCACCACAAACTGAAAACAGGAACAGGTTCCTTTATGCCTCATCAAGTCTTCCTTGATGTCCACTTACGTTTGCTTCCTTCATACTATTAAAATAAGTTTTCATATATTTAGCTTCTTTTCTTCTTTTACAAAATAGAACTAAAATCTTAAAACACAAAATAGCAGACCTTTCCTTAGGCATCTCTCTGGAACTCGAGTTACATTGTGCTCATCTCGTTCACACACATGCAGGGTCACTGGGCTATGTGCCGTCTTCCTGATGGACCACAGCACCTCTGGGAGAAGCTCCAGCCCTTTGAGTCAAATGCATCTCCAGAGGACATCGGTTTAATCATCAGACACTAAGAGCATTCGAGGAACCCCTTCACTATATTGTTCAAACTGCCAACGCATTGGCGTTTCAGCCTAAATATTAGAAAGCACATATTGAATCAAACCACTTCTCAAAAATAATTTAGTAAAATTACTTAGGCCTGGCAGTGTCACCGGAAGCACACAGTTGTCTCAGGCACAGGTTTATACAGCAGAAGCCAAATGAATAGTTTCAAACTTGTATTTTCTATTACTTCTTCATATGTTCATTGTGTACTTCCTAACCTTGGGGAAATGGTTGGATTCAACATTTTATAAGTAAGGTAAAATCTCTGGTTTGGGCTGAGAAATGGACTGTTAACCAAGGCCAGGCAATGCATTGTTCAAGGGCATCAGTAACATACATACATACATACATGTATATATGTATATATATATAGCATATCTATATAGATATATATGCAAATAACCCTCCTAAATCAGAAGTATCCCTGCCCCAGGCCACAGTGCATAAAGAATCACAATGGTTTGTTATCATATTCCAGCTATAAGACCAGACTCTAAATTCTACATCATTGACGAGTTGTAAAATGTTAACCGTGAGGTAAACTGTTAAAATATGCATTACCTACACGTAAGAAGGTTGAAGTTCACACATGACAAAATACTGGGTATTTAGCATTTAGTGAGATCATTCCCTGATCCTCATTTTTGCACCAAGAGGAAGGAATAAATCTAAAAATCAAAAACAAGCAAACAAAAAAAAAACCACATAAACTAATCATTAGCCTTTTATTTCTCCTCAGACAAGTGATCTGAACCAGCCAAACTAGAATCTTTCTGCTTTCGTAGAGACAGATCTTTACCTATTTGTGTATCTGGCAACTGGACGTTGTGAGGTTCTCTGCAGCCAGCATGCCCCTCCTTCCATCACATAACTACAGGGATCTTTGAGCTTTGCAGGTGTTTCCCACACAGTGATAAGCAAGGGTTTTTTTTTTTTTTCCTTTTTTCCTGGAAAGAGAGGCAAGAATCCTGTTGTTAAGTGATTCCTCAAGGCCCTCTTGACTCTAGAACAACCTGATATCCTGGTGTGATATTTTCACTAGATTTGGTTAAATTCTGTTGTTTAGGGATTCCTCAAGGCCCTCTTGACTCTAGAATAGCCTGATATCCTGGTGTGATATTTTCACTAGATTTGGTTAAATCTTATTTTCTGCACTTCTGAGTGATCCACGAGTTAAAAAGAAAAGAAGGGAAAAAAAAACTTTTTTTTTTAAGTTTAAAAGAGAAAGGAAAGTGCTAGAAAAGAATCCTCAGGAACTTATCTGAACTTCAGGTGTAACATTCCCTTCCCAGGGTGTCCTACTCCTGTCTCCAACAAAGACTGCTAGGCCACATGGAGAAGAGTGGGTCCTAAATTGTTTGCTTTGGGCAAAGCGAGCTTCCTTCAGTGGTTTCCGAGGGAGTGTTGTATTCCTTAACACGTGGCCCATCCATCCTCCTTGGCCTTGGAGACCTCACAACTTTTTGGCACTGTCATGGCATGCTGCTGCCCTGATGGTGGTCCCAGCCAAACCCCGGTTGCTGACCCTGCGGACCAGCACTTTGGAAACGGGGATTTTTGTTCTGGGCATCTCACTCCTGGCTGGCTGCTGGTGCACCACAGGATGGCTGGACGGAAGGTTGGAGAGATGTTTGATGCTAATAGGGATTTTAGAGTCCTTCAGCAAGCTGCCTGGTGTTCTCAGTGGACAGGTGATGGTGCCTGGAGACACCGGCTTTAGCCGGGACAAGCAGGGTGGGTCCTCCGTGGCAGGAACAGCAGCTGAGCTTCCTTCGGGTTCAGTGTAGAGATCATAGAGAGCATCGCCACTGTCGCTATCCCTGGGAATGACGGCCTTCTTACTGCTGCTGGCGCTATCTTCTTCTGGACCAGGAGTGGTGGAGTCCCAGTAGCCCTCGTCGCTGTTAGGGACGCCTTCTTGATGCTCCTTCTCGGGGTGCTTGGGCTCCTCCTTCTGCTGAGGATCAATGGGGATCTTGTGGAGCCTCCTGCGCTTGACAGAGGACACATCCTTGGCTACTTCCCCGCACCGAACATCATTGGAGGTCTCAGGGGCCAGCTTGGTGTCTGAAGCAGTGGCTGCCTTCGCGGCGCCCTCTTGGGGCCCTTGTCCTTGGTCCTCGGTCTGGGACAACATGTCCCAGAATTCCGGGAGATAGGTGTCGTCCACCTCATCTGGGCTGGCCATCTCCTCCCCTCCTCCTTGGTAGGCCACCTCGCTGGGGTTCTTTTTAGAGAGCACTGGCTTGCCTGGCCCGGGGGCATGCTTGTCACAGCTGGGACCTGCCTCTTCTTCTGGGTCTGCAATAATATCTCCACAGCCTGTAAGAGAGTCAAAGCTTTTCAGTGAAGTCACGTCAGAAAACATCAAACAAATACGATCTGCCGACGGGTCTGAGGGTGGATCAACAGAGGAAGGGTCAGGGACGGCAGACGCCCGGCCGCTGCCACCTTCGGAGTCGACAAGGGGGACGGTCTTTATCGGAACGTCACCTGTCCTGGAAGCATCCTCGGCCGCCTGGACCTCACCAGCTCCCGACTCGAGGGCTGCCCCGGGCTTCTCCGCGCGCCAATGCCCCTCGGCGTCCTCTCCCCGGGCGCTTTGGTCGCCAAGGCCGGCGGGGCTCGCGGCCTCGAGGCAGGTCCGCGCCGGGGCGCGCTCGGCGGACGCGGGCGCCTGCTCTCCCCCTTCGGGCTCACCTGCTGCGTGTCGCGGGGCGTCCTGGCCCGGGCTGTCCGGGCGGCGCGCGGTTCGGGGCGGCTCCTCCTTGACGCACTCCAGGCTGGCGGTGAGCGAGCCGGGCAGGACTAGGCTGCCCGGGCCCGCCGCGCGCGCCGCCTTCTCCTCCTCCTCCTTGCCGCGCTTGTCCCTCCGGTGCCAGCGCATGCTGCTGAAGATCCCTTTCAGCCCCCTCTTTTGTTTGCCGCCAGCCTTGCTCGCCTCGGCAGGGTCCCCCTTGCCGGTCTCCGATCGCCCGTTCTTTTTCAGCAGGGAGAAGAAGCTGTGGGACTTGGCCACCGAGCTGCTGGCCAGGGAGCCCAGGCCAGGCCCGGCGGCTTTGGGGGGTCCGGGGTTTGGCCGGGCCCCACCGTGATCGCCCCCGCCGGGAGGCTCCTCCTTCTTGCTGCCCTCCAGCACCAGTACCTCCGCTAGTCCGTCGTGGGTCCTGCTTCTCACCATCCCCGTCGGCCCCGCGCTCTTCCCATCCCCTTTGTTTTTGACCCCAAAAATGCTGGGCATGGTGGCCCCCGATTTCCTCTTCTTGAATAACTTGAACGCAGCCTTATTGATCTTCCCCGACGGCGGCTCTGCGGCGGGCGTCTCCGCGGCGCACTCACAATGCGAGTCCATGTCTGCGGTGAGGGCCCCGGCCTGCTCCTGCCTCCTGCAGACCCCCGCGCGCGCGCCGCCGCCGCCGCGCTCGCTGACAGCCGCGCCGCCGCCGCTGCCGCCGCCGCCGCCGCGGCTCCTGCCCGTCTCCATGGAAACCGAGCGGGATCAGCGGCTGTCGTCAGCCGTAGGCTCGCGCCAGGCCACTGTCACCCGCGTTCTAAATCAACCTGAGCGGCTCTCGCTGTTGCTGCTGCTGCAGCTGCTGCTGCTGCGCCGTGGCTGCTGCGACTGCGGCGGTCGAAGCGCACAGACCCGACTATCTCCCCTCCTGCCGAGGGCTTATATAATACCCTGGGCGCCGCAGAGGTTTTTTTGTAGCAAGAGCCCTCGTCAGAGACTTGAGCTGAAAGGAAAAACAAAATGAAATTCGCAGTTATGGGGCTTCGGATCCCAGTGCCTCGACTCTCAGGTTCCTGCTCTAGCCTAGCTTTTTCTGGGAGCCCAGTTTCAGACATCAACACATGTTCGCCCATGCCCCAAAAGAACAAGTCCGTTTCCTTTTATCATCTATCTCAGAATTCATGCAGCCTCCTGTCTCTCTCGGGTCCTTCACATAGGTCTTAGCGTGTGATCTTTAAGCCCAGAAAGAGCCATGCCAATCTGTACACGCCTCTGTCGGATCCTGTGCTAAGTGTGTCCTCCGGGTTGATGCTGCATTCGGATCGTGTGGATCTGATTCCCGTTACAGAAGCAACAGTCAGATGGCGATTAGCAGCTCTCAGTAACGAAAGTGTAGTAACAGTCCCTGGTCTTTGGGAAATCCTGAAGCTTTTATCCCACACTCCAGTGACACAGGGCTGAAGTCACAGAAGTCACTGTCCAGCCTACAGTTGGTCACAATAGAATAAGCAGACTGAGAGCTGAACTTGGAAGGCTCTGGTTTCCCTACAAGTGGGCCTTGGAGGCCTGGGTTCTATCTTCCTCTTCCATTCAGGGGTGTGGTAAGTATGTCTGTCCCTGCTGTGCCCACCCTTGCCCTGGATCCAAACACCCCGGGACCCACTTGCCATCCTCCCCAATGGCACAAGAAAAAAACAAAACAGACAGGAGTCTAGAATCAAAGAAAACTCCATTGCAGAGAACAACCCTGTCTGGGGAACTTTCCTGTGTTCTGACTTTGAAGATGTCGGATAATACTGTAACTTTTCTTAATCAAGGGCTTATCAGCAAAATAGGGAGGGATTTGGAAATTTTTTTTATAATGTTTAATAACATTATTCTTAAATGTTATTTGCTTATAAATACTATTTGCATATGTATACAAACGCCAGTCTTTCCTACTTCTCTTATACTTATTTTCTACGGGTTATTTATATTAAGCAGATTCTGTTGTCGGCCATGGCAGCTTCCATGGTTCACGTTTAGGCTGTGGAGTTCAGAGCAGTACACTGCCCTTCCTCATTTTGGTAAAAATGCTTGAAACTGAGATTGGGTTCAATGGAGCTTTCTGAGTTCTAATCCCGCCAGCTCTCTCTTGGTAACAGAACCCTCCATGAACAGGGATGTGAGACAGACTTTTCTCATTATCGCTTTTTAAAATATGATATTTCTTTTCAAAATACTTCTTTTATAGTGTGTTTGGGCACACATGTGCCACAGCAAAGGACAACGTACGGGAGTTGTCATCTTCTACCAGGTGGGTCCCAACAATCAGCTTGCCTGGCATGGTGGAAAGGACCTTACCTACTGAGTTATCTCACTGACCCATTTCCTGATGTTCTAACTGCCCATGTGACAGGATGGAAAAGAGCCCTATTTGCCATGCAAAAGATGAGGTATATTATAAAGAGAAAGCCATTTGTTATTTCTTTGAAAGCTTTTGCAGGACAATTGGAAGTCTGTCTCGGTTCTTTACACACACACACATCATGCTGGCTAGATATATGGGTTACTATATAGGTAACTATGTCAGTCTAAAACTGTTTCAGACCACGACCGGGAAGAACAAGCAGTCTAGAAAAATCACAGGTCTCTGAGCCTAAGAGTTGGAGTAGGTGGCCTGCTTATTCAGTGGAGCGCTGTCCACTACCCAGACAGGCCAAATGTAACTCATCTACATAAGAATTCTTCAATCCCCAGGGAGAAAACTGACCAAGGACACTGGGACAACTACCGTTCCTTTGGGAGGTAGATACTTAAAGAGAAAGGGACAAAGCAGCCTTCAATGCAGGGAAGGCGTCTTGGTGCCAAGTCATCTACCTGTGGAGGAAGGAAACTGGACACTTAGAGCCATCTGCTAGGTCTGTGCAGCCAACAGGCAAGGCGAGCTCCAGACTGACTGAGGGCGACCCAGGTGGGAGAGAGCAGCTTACAAGGCATTCATGAAAACCACCACACAGGTTGGACAGAGGGCAGGGGCAGCAGGATGGCCTGGGGGTTAGGGTTAGAGGCATACTGTTGAGTGGCAGAATAAAGAACCAGGGCTAGGAATCTAGGCAAAGATTTCTACAGACCTGAAACTGCACTTTGCTCTTCATAGCCAAGAGATGGGCAACAGCCAGGTCTGGTGGTGCAGGCCTGGAAACTCAGAGTCTGAGTCTGAGGCAGGAGGACTGAAGGTTGAAGGCCTGACTGGGCTATAGAGAGGGGTCAAGACCAGCCCTGGGCAATGTAATAAGACCCCGTCTCTACATGAAAAGTCAGAAGAAGCTCAGGATATAACTAGGAGAGTTTTCTAGTTTGCGCAAGGCCCTAAAAATCAATCCCTAGGCTCACCACCTTCACAAAGTGGGGCCAGAGACCATATTTGTACAAAACAGAAGTATTTTTCAAAAGACAAACAAGAGATTCAAGATGATTTTACCAGAAGCACCCCAGTTTTTTTTTTCTAAATTGTATCTCCTTTCATTACTTCCCTCCGTGGAGATTCGATTTCGAGAGGGAAGTTGGAAAGGATGAAGAGAGGGACTGAGGGAAACGGCCGAGCAGCAAAGCTGCTCCAAAACAAGGAGGGTCTCCACAAATGGACGAGCCGCAGACTTTACCCGAAAACCAGTGTGAGGGGGACACGGGAGGATTCAAATTGAGTTGGAACTTTTCTCTTTGAAGGGGGGCACTCAGAACAAGAAAAAAAAAGTTGAGAGAAACAACCTTCGCCATCTCGCATCATCACGGCTGCTATCATTATTTCCTTATGGAGTGTTGTCTACACAGCCGAGGCCCTTTCCCTGTCCTAAGCTTGCCAAGTGGAATTTTCTGTCCGGTGAACCCCAAAGAGCACCACATGTAAAGGGCTGGCTGAAGGTTCCCCTCAAAGTCCCTGTGGATGACGCTGGGGGACGCTGTAGGTCAGAATTTAGGATGGAAGAGCTCACTGGTTCTATGTTCAACAGGCCTCGAGTCTTTAAAGTATTTAACCAAGGAGGTTTGGGAATGATTCCTAGATTAGAACCAGCACTGGCCACCTGAAGACCAGTTGGCCAGTCTGGATCCCACCCTAGGTGGAAATGCCCGCTTCTGTTCTTGTTGGTTCTTGCCTGTGATGCTTCTCCAAGGTGTGCTCTTGAAGTGGTCATCCCGATGAGAATCAAAGGTCCAGCCTAAAGTATTTGTGTGGGACAGTATCAACAGGGTCCATATGCCCAAGACCAGAATGTCACCTGAATCCAGTCCTCATGGTTTTGTACCTGAATCAACAGTATAAGTGAGCCAATACAAATAGAAGCTCTTCTCTACAGTTCTAGTGGGCACCCAGGGGACCCAGGCCAGGCATCCGGTGACAGGTCTGGCTTTTCTAGCAGCTGCAGTCTGTTTCCAGGGGCTACCATAGCAGATGACCACAAGCCTAGAGACTTAAAGACATCAGGGCTCTAACATCCTATAGTTCTAGAGGTCAGCAGTACAAACTCAAGGTGGCAGTAGGGTTAGCTGTGACTGTCGATCCCAGAAGAGACTGTCCTATGCCTATATCCTGGCCCTGGTTATTGTTCAAATCCTTGTGATCCCTTGGTAAATTCACAACGAACATGGGCTCCTCCAGTATAAAGTTCCCCTGGAAGATACCTGGTCTGTGGATGGCCTTTCTGGATATATCAGCAATGTGTCCCCATAGCCAGCCCAAGTAAACACAAAGAAAGTGGTGATGACTAAGAGGAGCAGGTGTTTCTGTACACCGTGAGGGCCATAAGGTGTCCCAGGACTGTCCAGGAGAACCATAAGTGGGTATGAGAGCTCCCACACGGTGGGGAGACCAGAACAAGGGACATACTGATGGCAGCTCTGACAGGTGTCCTGTTCATGCGCCTAAGCCTGAAAAAGACCTCACAGAATCCCCAGCAGTCTGTTCTTCCCTTTGCTCCTGCTCTGTTTCGTCAGAGACGCTCTCAGAAAAGATTCCATCTTAGAACGCAGGGTGGGATGGGGTCCCTTCAGCTGTCAGCTCCAAGGCGAGGCCAAAATCCGAGCAAATGAGGTCAGATAGCAGAGGGTGTGCGGACAGGATGCCAGGGCTCTGGCTGCAAGCAACAGTGGTAGAAGGCAGTCACGCGGACTGCGGAAGTCAAAAGTCAGGTGATCCCGATGGAGGCAAGGAGAAAGCCTGACAGGAGAGTCCACCATCAGCCAGGAGCTGGGGAGCGAGGCTGGAAGGGGCTGCGGAGCTAGGCTCTATACAGTGGAACGAAGAAAGCTCTGCAGAGTCTACGCCCTTGCTCCTTGGGGTACATTGGCTCATTTCAGGAAAACTCTCCTCTAGCCCCACTTCTGACAAAGCCAGCATTACCCAGAGGCTCGATTCAACCCACTCAGCAGATATTCAAGCATGGACCACTCAGAGGGAATAGAGGAGGCCCTCTGTTCAGGCTCCTCACCTTCCACCATAGCATCCAGCCATTACAGCAAGTGGTTCTGACATCCCAATGACAATCCTGAGAGCCTTCTGCAGTTCCTGCCCCCTTTCTCAGTCAGTGGCAAAACCCCCCTGCTCTGGAGTCTCCGAGTTTAGAGAGAGAGAGAGAGAGAGAGAGAGAGAGAGAGAGAGAGAGAAAGAGAGAGAGAGCATCTCCCTCATCTTTTGGAGCTCAAGGGCGGAGGATGCAGAACAGAGCCCTTCTTAAGGACCCTCAGCTGGGCTCTTACTATCTTCCTATGAA